AGTTACTAATAAAAATATTTTTGCTATGCTTTAGATTTGTGATATTAAAATAGTTTATGATTTCAGATCTGGTTTTTCATTTGAAATCAATATTCACTTTCATATGTAAATATATAATCTGATATTTTTAATATTCTTTGTATTTGTAATGAGGGGATATCACAGATTGTATGAATTTCATATGCTGAAAAATCTAGGTAGATTCTGGGATATCAGAGAGAACTTTGTTGATAAGGCAAGACTTGAATAGATCAGTAGGCAGGAAAATTCCTAGGAGAAATGTTTTCCAAATAACAGAAACATAAAATGGAAGGGTGTTAATTAACAAGGTATATTCTAGATAGTCATTATGCTTCCTAGTGCATTCTTTTTTCTTTCCTTTTTAAATGAAAATATGTATTTTTTTCTTGCATTGCATATACAGATTATGGTCTCTAATCCTTCCAGTTTCTCCCCACCTCCACTCTCTTCCTGTCTCTCATAAGAAAACAAAGGAGTAGTAATTAAATTAAAAACTAGCACAGTGGAATTACACAGAACTAAAGACAGGAGGAAAAGAGTCCGAGAGAAGGCTTAGGGTTCAGAGACCCATTTTTCCACACTCAGGAATCCCATAAAAACACTAAACTGAAAGCTATAATATATATGCAAAGGACCTACTGCATCAGTCTCCATGAGTTCATATGCGTCTTAATCTTGTTGATTTAGAGGGCCTTGTGTCCTCCATTCCCATTCACTCTGGCTCTTACAGTTTTTCTTCCTCCTTTTTCACAGGGTTCCATGATCCCAGAGGGGATCAATTTGATGGAAACAACCCATTTAGGGCTGAGTGTTTCAAGGTCTATTACTGTCTCCATAATATTTGGCTGTGGGTCTCTATATTTGTTCCCATCTGCTGCAGTAGGAAGCTTCCCTGATGATGATTAAACAAGGTACTGCTTAATGAGTATAGCAGAACATCATTCGTAAACATTTTATTGCTACTTTTTTATCCTTTCCTTTTCATTTTGCTTTTACCTTAGGTCCTTGTGTGTTCTATTCTATGGAGTGGACTTCAGTCAATTCAGGGTTTGTGGTTTGGTTGGTATTTATGTTTCTCTTTTAGTAAGGTGCAGAATACTTTCCTGTAACAAAGATACCAGAAAGTAAGAATGAAGGCTCTATATAGGCAACAGCTTGTCTTGTTCATGTTTAATGAATTGTCCTCAGCAATTGGGCTTTCCAATTAGTTTATGGAGAGTTTCCTATAGTCTAAGAAACAACCTGGCCTGTTTGGGGATTCCCATGGGACCCTTTGGCCAACAACTCAATTAGATGTTACCTAATCCCAGTACTGAAAACTTCATTTGGTAATAAGAAATGGCGACTTTGGCTGCTGTCTTCTCCATTATTGGGTGATTTCTTTTAGATGACTTTTATTAAATTTCCATATTATCCCTCAAATGGCCCTTAATTTTAGTTGTATCTCCAAACAGTCCTCCCTTGTCCTCTTTTCCTCCCCCCCGCCCCATTTGATCTTCCTTTTCTAGCCCACAATCCCCATCCATCCACAAACATCTATTTTATTTCCCTTTCCTAGGAAGGTCTATCTGCCTCCCCCCACACACACAGTCCTTACTCTATACCTAACCTCTGTGGTTCCATGGATTGTAGCTTTGCTATCATTGACTTAACAGCAAGTAGCCACATATAAGTGAATACATACAATATTTGTCTTTGTGGGCCTGAGCTACCTCATTCAGGATGATGTTGTTGGTTTTTGTGTTGTTGTTCCAAACATTTGCATGTAAATTTCATTTTTAACAGTTGGATAATACTCCATTGTGTAAATGTACCATATTTTTTCTATCCAGTCATCTGTTGATGAACATGTAGGTTGTTTCCAATTTCTGGCTATTATAAATAGCAACAATGAACATTGTTGAACAAGTGCCTCTGTGGTAGGATGAAGTATCCTTTGGATATAATGCCAAAGACTGGTATAGCTAGATATTGAGATAGATCAATTCTCATACATCTTTCTGAGAAACTACCACAGTGATTTCAAAAGTAACTGTACAAGTTTACACTCCCACCAGCAATGAATGAATGTTCCCCTCGATCTGCATTCTCACCAAATAAGCTGTCACTTGTTTTATTGATCTTCTATTCTGATGGGTAAAGATGAAATTTCAAAGTAGTTTTTATTTACATTTCCCTGATGGCTAAGGATGTTGAGAATTTAAGTGTTTCTCAGTCATTTGAGTTTCCTCTTTTGAGAATCCTCTGTTTAAATCTAATAAGATGAGAAATGTAGTTTAAGTGGCTTTAAAAGGCATCCCGTTTGAGAAGTACATTGCCAAAGGAACTTGGCATTGGTCTGTCTACTGGGCCTTGAAAGTCATAGATGTAGCAGATAACACTATTTGTCTATTTAACTTTTAGTTTCCTTTTGTTGAGCTAAGGGAACCCTGATAGTACTTGGGGTTTTAGTGTGCCTAACTAAAAATCTATTTTCCCAACCTTCTTTGCAAAGGTCTTATGATGTAATTGTTATTAGTCAAGTCAAATGGGAGATCCCAAGTGGAGCTTCTAAAGAAACACTTCTGACATGCTAATTCTTCATGGGCACATAATCCTGGCAGTCCAGAGGCTGAAGCAAGAGGATTGTCTAGGGTACACAGCAAGCTTGTACAATTACTTAATTAATTAATTAAAAATTTACCTCAGTTAAAAAGTTTTCCTTTTCTTAGCCTTTATATTTTTGCCTGAAATTTTTCTGTGAGGCTCTAATCCTGCAGTTCTTCCCAGCTGATCAGAGATCCTCACACACTCTAAGGAACACTAGGCAAAAACTCAAAATTGTCTTGGGTCATCAGTGAATATGGAGGCCCTGTGCTAACCTTAAAATGCCAAAGTTAGGAATTCATTTACATGACAGAAAAAGAAAGCCCCATCATTCATTATTGTTCTCAGGACTCTGTACTTACCAGCTGGATTCAAATCCTAACTGCAATGTTACATAAGCAAAGAGGAAGAGGAGAAGGAGAAGAAAGAGGAAGAGGACATGTTAGAAAAAAGAATGAAGAAAACCTTATATGTATATGCATATGTAGTTTTTTTTTATAAAATCAGCAGTGAATTCTAGTCACAAATTTCTGCAAATGGAAAACATTTCTGCCATATGTATTTTCTTGGAATAGTACATAGAGAATTTCTATGAGGCTTTGTTCTTTATATCTTAATTGAATATTTTAAATGTGGACAGTGTGATGGAAAACTCTGGTGTTGAAATATGCTAAATAGTTAAAAAAAACAACATCAAGAAGCTAAAACAAGGCTGGGCGTTGGTGGCGCACGCCTTTAATCCCAGCACTCGGAAGGCAGAGGCAGGTGGATCTCTGTGAGT